GGAGAGACCTCCATTTTTGTGGGTATTGTTTCGTATTGGATCGTGTTTTTGAGTTGCTATGTGGGGGTGCTTTCTTGTGGTATTTATAGTAACACAGGAGTGTTTGACTCTAAATTAGCAACAATATGGTTAATTACGACTTACTATGAATGTTTAAAAAATAACAAAAGTAAAAAAAAAAATATAAATATAAATTTGTAATAAAATAAATTAAAATGTATCATATTTTTAATTAAAAATAATATTAACGTAGTTTTTAATTGAGGCGTAATTAGTTAGAAGAAAAAATGTGTTATTGTAATTATTATATTTGATTTCTATTCCGATTCAATATAGTTTTAGTTAATAATGTAAATAAGTTTCTGATTCCCATTATAATAAAAATTTTAATGAACAATATTAAAAAAAGCACATTTTCATTCCCATTTTTAAAAAATAAACGAGACTTAAAGTAGTAATAAAACTTTAATATTCTAATTTGGTGCATAATAGATCTATGAATTAAAAAAAAAAAWTAATAGGTCTGAGATTTATCCAACAACAAATTGAAGGTTGATAGATTTATTCAATACTTTTAAAGTTAGAGGTTTATTAGGCACAAAATTAAAAGTTTAGAGATTTATTGGTTCGAGAGTTTTGTGTTTGGTTAGAAGAGGGGTGACCTTCTAATATAACCTCTTGGTTGGTTCTTATAATATTTGGACACGTTATCTTAATTGTTGTACTCTTTTAGTTTTTTTTTTTTAATAATAATAACGTATTAGATATAATTTTAACAGTCAGATTAAATTTGTAACTAAAATGATATATATTTTAAAAAATCTCTAATTATAAATTATTTTTAGTTGGTCACATTGAATAGTCTTTGGGCACCCATGCCTTTGGGCTTTGATAGGGTTTTAGATTGGCAGTGGAGGATGCTATGAAAGTAGGGCGAACAAGAGGAATAATTAAAATAAATAGTGTGTTTTGAAAAATGCCCAAAAATTTATAACAATATAGATAATAGCTAAGTCACAGTTATAGTTTAATATTATATTTTAGTTTAGACTGATATATACCCCTTAAACAAAATTATAAAAGTTATCATTACAATTCTTCATTTTAATTCGAGGAACGTTTTTTTAACTATTTTCTAAAGATCACGACCAAATTATCACTTTTGAAATTTAAGGATCAACTAGAAAATCTATCTGAACCTGTATTTTATCATTTTATTTAAATAATTAGTTTTTAAAAATATTTAGAAAAAGTCAGACTTTTGAGTTTTGACATATGAACACGTAAATTTATTTATAAATTTTGGAACCCTGTTGGTCAAAAAAACGTTTTAGCTGGAGATGGTGTGGAACTTGTCTTCAAGTTCATAAAATATTTGAGAAATTAAACAATGTCGTAGAACAATGGACATATATATTTTTTTTTAAATCAGTATTTGTCTTACACTCATTTTAAATATTATAATATTTTAAAAGAAATTCTAATGATCAAATCGGACAAAAAGCATAAGAAATGAGATTGGAATTAAAAGAAAAATATATATTCACATTCACAAGACAAAAATAGTGAAGAACCATGTTATCAAAACTCATTATTTTTCATGTCAAATATTGTTAAATATAATCTTGATAATAATTTTATTCCTAGTTTTTAATTAATATTTGTATGCTTATTTAAAATTAGTTTTTTTTTTTTACTTTTGTATGTAATTTGTAGTTAAAAAAATATTTTAAATCTTAATTGAATTTCAGAAGCTGCCTTTTTAAAAAAAAACATATATAATCGAAAGTTATCTTTAAAAAAATAGACAACATTGTGAAATAAAAAAAAATACTAATTTCTATTCAGAGAAAACAGCGAAAAAAATTGTTTAAAAATAAGTATATGAGGCCAAATATTTATTAAACAGCTCCATAGTGATTTAAAGTTAGTTGAACAGATTGGACTGATTAATTGCAGAATTAAATTGTGTATTCTTATAAAGTGCAGTGCTTTAAATATTCTACAAAATGTTCTTCATTTGTTTTATTAAGATATTTTTTTTTTAAGAATATGCGAGCAAATATAATATTACATGAGAACCTATTTCGTTTCCTCAATTGCAATTTTTTATTTTTTTGGCTCTGCTCAGTCTGATTTGTATTTCTCTTCGTCTTCATTTTGATATAAAATATTGTAGTGGTGGTTTTTTATTACAATAAAATGCAAACATTTATTAGGTAAAAAAGAACAAAAAATACATTAGGTGAAGAATTATTGATTTGATCATACGTACAGAAAATGCATTTTTTTAAAAAGTATTAATGTACAAGAAATCAAGGAAATGGAATCATTCTACAATTCCAATCTGTCTCAAGTATAATATAGATTTGTAAATATTTTGAAAATAAATAGACATTTATAAAATATCTAGTGTAATATGATTTATTAGAGACAATTTCATCCGTCACATCCAATCCATTCAACTTCCTCTCTTTTTCAATTGGTAAAATTTGTGATGTTTTTATCTCCATTAAAATTGCAACTTGGTCTTTTCTTCGATTATTTTGTAAATAATTTGTTTCACCCCACTCAACTCATCGACTTAAATGGATGGGTTAAGTAAATTTAATTCATTTATATAGATTATCAACATCGTGTACGTGACATTTTAATTTTATCTTATCATAGATATAAATATTAAATAGTAGAAAACGTTAAATTAAAATTCATTCAAGTTTTTGGTTGTGTTATTTATACATTCTCTCGAGGCTCTATTATATTAATGGGAGGAATGTTGAGTGATATTTATCCCCGAGGGATAACTTGGTTAGATTTTGGATTCAAGTCACATAAAGTCACATGGAACGCAACTCCATCAASCAATGACCCCTTGCGTATTGGGACAGTGCCAGATTAATGAGACTTACCTTAAACTTGGGAATCACTCCGATAATTTCATTTTTATCTCGTACAACCTCAACAATCTCATTCGCATTCTTTATTTCGTGGGCTCATTATTTTCCAATATTTACTTTACAACTTTTACCATATCGCTCCCATCTGTTAATGAGATCCACAACTTTTTAATTGATTATTTTATCATTTTATTTTTTTCTTTATGAATTTATATATTACCAATAATTTTTCTTCTAATAAAAATTTATACAACTTTTACACGTTGATGTGGGTTCATCGTAAAATACTTTAAATTGCTATTTAATTTTACTTTGTTATTATTAACTAATATCAATAAAATGCTTGAAATAGAATTAATTATTAAAACAATAAAATTTAATAATATTTTATATTAATGATGGGCGTTTTTAAAAAAATTATATTAATCTCGATGTAATTTTATTTTAATTATTTATTACATGTTAATGTTAAATAAATTKTTATAATAAAAATATTTACCATGGAGTAATAATATTAGCACACTTTTTAGTTATTGTATTTTTAAATAATTAGAAATAAGAAATGAGTATTTTAGTAATAGTAATATATTTGATTCCTGTTCGAGTCCATACATCTTTTAGTAAACAACATGAGTTTTTTTTTATTCTGATTCCAAAAAGATTTATACTAAATAAGATTAAATAAACATTCTCATTACGATTCAATATCATTTCAATTCTCAACCGTTCTTAAATTTTCAAATTTTATCTCCAAACTTTAAAAATATAATTATTTTTGTTTTTGAACTTTTAAGATATATACTTTAATCCCTAAACTTTAAAAAATAACTATATTTATTTTTGTTATTATTTTGCCACCTAATATACATTCACGCAGTGTGCATTTTAGCCAACTTTTTATGGCTCCGATATATGTTTACATTAACATGTTAATATAAATACTCAAAGCAACGTAATCTGCCAATATGAACATAACTTAACAGTAAAAACATATCATTTATTTAAGATCCAAATTCATGCATCTCATACTTGTTGTACTMAAATAAATCCAAAGACCAGAGTAAACATACAAATACAGCGACGAAAGAACAAACTTAAATGATACTTAAAATTAGTATTAAAAAAATGATACTTAAAATTAAAGTTTTAACTTGAAAAGACATCATTTGGAGGAGAAAAAAAGCCCAACATAAGAAGCCCATTATTATTGTTTTTGAGGGAGAAAAGCCCAAATGAGGAGCCCACTATTATTGATGTAGATGATAGTTGGAAAGCGAGAAAAGTGAGATATTTACAGGATTTTTGCCTCCCCACTAAACTCAATTTAAATTTAAAAATCCCAATTCACATAACCCTACTTTTCTCGGAAAAAATTCCCCTGTCATAAGAGTACCTTTGTTTATAGTTTTGTCTTTATAAATAATTTTTAATGTCTCCAAACTTACGTATATCATTTTTAACAGGGTGTTAACATGACACATAGTAAATAGAAGGAGTATCCATACCTGCGTTGATACCTCACATACCAATACCCTCTCTTACCTTTTTTTTTTTTTTTACCCTTTTATCATTCATTCTATGTTATATAATTTATTTTTTAGGCATTTATATGAATAAGATAAAATGAACATGTATTTTAAAACATAGCATAAAGTTTTAAGTTTTATAAGAATATCATAACTCAAATTAAACTCACATATACGGTATAAAATATACACAAAAATAATATTTTATTCATGTTATATTTGTAAAAGAAGGAAAAAGTTGTGACACTTTTGAAAAATATATATTAAATTTATGTCATGAGTAAAAATTCACTTTCAATTCAAATGGAAAGAAAATCACTCATGATTTAATAAGTTGATTGAGAATGTGTTATTTAAAATTATAACTTTACATCACTAATGCTTTAGTAAGTTGATTGAGAAAGCTTTATTTTATAAAAAATAATTAGGCCTTTTCTTAAATAATTTTAGAATTAGTTTTAGTAAAAGATATTTAATGATTGAAAAGTTATTTTTATATAATTATTTTAACATTTGGTTATACTATTTTTCAATTCAATTTTATATAATTAAAAGTGATTTTGAATGATTAATATTTAAAGTTTAAAGAGAAAATTCGGTAAAAGATTTAGAGAGAGAAAAATTAGACGGGGACAAAAATATTTGAGAGAATTTTAGAGGATGAAAGACGAAAGAAATTAGATAGAGAGATTTGGAAGAAAGATGAGAGCTAGAAATCTAGAGAGCGATTACAAAAAATTAAGAGAAAAAATTTTGAAAATGAAAAAAAAAAGTTCTCAAATTGTAGGGTCAAAATAAGGTGAAATAGAAAGACAAATTTGACATTTAAACAATAATAATTTTAAAAGCTAATTTCATATTAATTGTTTTGACCAAAAATCTCTCGAGAATTATTACCACATATGTCATTTTAAAATAGTAGTGATTTTAACTTTAGTAAAACCGATTCTAGCTGTGTTAAAACACTTTCAAACATGTCCTTATTTTCACACTTTCTAATGATATTAGTACTATTTTTTCTATTTTTATTTCTAATTTATCTTGAATAGAACAACTTTTTTTTAATTAATATTTGTAAACATTTTAGTTTCTTACTTTATTTTTTATTATAGTTTTTATTTTAAAAATTCTCTCCATTTCTTCATGCATGATCTCTCTAACATTTTGATATTTTGAAGGACTAGAACAACGTGTTTGACAACTTTACAATAATGTTGAAGATATGAAAAATCAATTTAAATTGTATTTTTCCAAAGGTTAGAGGAGACAGCCACATTGTAGCGACGACATTAGAAAATCTTTACACGGAAAGATACATTCTCTATGATGATTATTATTTTTAGGTAAACCTCCCTCTCTATTAAATATATATAATCCACAAATTTTGATCATATACTTGTTCAATTATATCCATAACAATATTACTTCAAAATTTATAGTATTTTGAAAGAATTTACAAAGCTCCCTTGTGTAAGGAATACAACTACAAGCGGTAACAAATGCAATATATGTCAAAAGAAAAAGGAAAAAGAAAGGTGAATCATAATAAATACAGCCCAACAAGCTTACTTTGATCTCCATGTGAAATTTCATATTCATAATTGTAATAAGAAATTTTCATGCTTTATAAGCTGAACACACAATATAAGATTTTAAAAAAAAATCATATATTCCAAAGCCTCATGAAAAATTGAAATGGTAATTAACGCGATAGTTCTTAGTCATTTTGATAACATTCACATTTGTTGTATCCTTTCCCGTCTTCCTAATGTTTCATATGCCTTTGGTAATTATTTCCTATTTTTCAACTTTTTTCTAACATTCTCTCGATATTCTACGAGTTCTGTTTACTTTGAGAGAATAGAAATCAAGAAATGCAAATAAAATTTTTCATTTAAGTATTTAGTGAAACGTACGAACGGAATAAATTGGTAAGACACAACTAAATTTTTTTTGAAAATCACTCCTCCTAAATGGGGTCATTCCTCTCATGCTATATAAAACCCCGTCGATGTGATTCATAATTCTTATTCTATAGAACTCACATATTTTCAATAATTATTTACAACTTTTATCGATGAACTCATAATTTTTTAATTAATTGTTTTAAAATTTTACTTTTTTCTTGTTCATTTATACAATTCTTCTAATAAAAAAGTTATTCAACTTTTATTACTTGATCTGATGTAATTAGGAGAGATAAAAAATTTCAATTTAATTAATTAATTTGTTATTATTTTAATTAATATCAATAAATTTGTTAAAATATAATTCCTTATTATTAAATATTATAACAATAAAATTTATAAATATTTACATAATGATTGTTTTTCTAAAAAACACTACATTAATCTTTATATGTAATTTTATTTTAATTAATTATTATTTATTAATGTTAAATAAAATCTTATAATAAAAAAAATACTTACCCTAACTAAAATTGCAGTAAGACAATTAAAATTTTATTATTTTAATTAAAAATAATTGTTAGCAAAACTTTCTACGTATTTTGGTAATTATTATGTAATATATCTCCTTTAGATAAATTTAATAAACACAATCAATAAATTTTTAATTTCGATTTTAGAAATAATATTGTCATTCTAATTTCCTCCCATTCCAATTCACGATAAGGTAAATGCATTGTAGGAAGGCACAACGAAAAATTAGGTGAGAGAGAAAAAAAGAAAAAGAGAAGTGAGATGTTTGTTACCATAGCAATGAAATTGACCAAACAGGATAAGACTAATGTTTGACTAATGTCTTTTTAATTTTATTTATTTATTTATAAATATAATAGATGGTAAAATATAATAAACAGTTGTAATAAACTTTTCAGAAAATTGCACATCAAAGCTCATGTCATCTTTTTAAAGAACTGCCGCATGCATATTGCATATCCTTTCTTTCAACCTCCTCATCTACACTTCCTACCTAACTTTTCTTTTTTCTTCTTCAAATGCCAATGGCGCTGGAGCCTTCAACTTCAAGATTATGAATCTCCAACCGACGTCATTTCTCTTCATATTTTTACAATAATATGATATTGATATACATTTTTTTCTCTACTAGTCGATGTACAACATTGTTCGCATTGCCCAACATAAACATTATTTCGTATCGTGGTTCAAAAGTTAAAGATGACATTTGCTAATTCTTTTCGAAATTCAAATATTAAAATTTCTTACAAAATCAGGCCCGTAGATCACCGATCAAACCAACAAAGATCGAATAATATAAGCTACTTTTTTTATGAAATCTATTTCGTTAGAGGCATGATGTGTCGATTGCTCGAGGTAGGGCCACCCTCCATTTCACCTTACCAACCTCAATTTTTAGGTTGATTGAAAGAATTGAAGCCAAGAAGGAACTAAGGAGGCAATTGTTCCCTCTTAGTTTGTCTTAGATTCCAAAAGTTATACTAAATTAGAAAAGATTTGAAAGTCTTCCCTCTCTGTCAGGTTTAAATTTTTAGAATTTAAAGATTGTATACCTAATAGTTAGAGTATAAAATTTTGTTTATTCCTAAGAAAATTTTTGGCTCAACCCAAAACTATAAATTTGTAAAAGTAGTTTGACATTATTATTATTATTGTTGTTTAGGCTTCACGAAAGAAATTATGTCTAATTAAATTCAACTATACTAATGTTGACAAAAAAAAAAATGAAATAATAAAAATAGTTGAAATAAAAAGCTAAAACTACGTAGAATATACTAATAATAAATCAGTGATTGATATGCAAAGTACTAATCAATCAATTATTTAAATATAATCAATAATATATAATTGATTGATTTAACATAAGGTTACTAATGAGTTCGATTCATAATTTTAAATTACTGTTAATGCTATATTTTTTCTTAATTCAATCGGAAACGTTAATATCAACATTTTTACATCTTATTCAAGATGATGTATATACTCGTGCTACCACCTAGTGGGATAGCTTTCGTTCTAGGGATCTCAACCATTTTATAATTAAGTTATGTTTTAGAGTTATTTTCATAATTGAGTTGTTTTTTACTTCATTTTAACGTATGTGATATTTTATTATGTTGTTTGTATGCTTTAGTTATGTTGTTATTAGGGGTGTTCAGAAAACCTGATGACCCGATGAAATCCGACGAATCCAATCCAATCGGATTGGGTTGGGTTCAATTAATCATCGGTTAGGCCAGTTGGGTTGCGAAATTTCTAACCCAACCGGATCGGGTCGGGTCTCGAGTTCGACCTTATAAATTTCGGGTCAACCCGACCCAATCCAATGATACCTTTATATATATATTATATATTATTTTAAAATTATAAATATATAATAATCTTTTTATCTCTAATCTCAGCCATCTATTGACTTTTAATCCTAGCCCGTGATGGTAGGTTAGGGTTTTCTATCTTTTCACTTTCAATTACAGTTTCACTCAACCTTTCCCTCCAAGTCTCCATCATCCATTTTCTTCTCAAGCCTCCATCCTCCATTTTCTTCTCTCAATCAAGTTCCTCATTGTCGTCAGTCTTCACAACTTTCGTCGTCGTTGGCCTTCGCAGCTATCGTCGTCGCGGGCCTTCGCAACTTTCATCGCCGTTGGCCTTCGCAGCTTCCGCCGCCGTTGGCCTTCGTAGCTCGCTGCAGCAACTTCCATGGCTGCTTGTCTTCGCAACAGCTCCTGTTGTAGCCCAGTAGCCCCTCGTCGATGTTGCAGCTCACCGTTGCCGTCGCAGTAGCTTTAGGTTAACATTTCATTGATGATATTTTGATTCTAACCCTTATGTAGCTTTGATGTTAGAAAAATATGTGGGAAAAAAAGAAGGGTTGGTTGGATTTGTTAAAGCAATCAGTAGTAAAAAAAAGTAACAATCCAACAACCCAACCCGATCCAACCCGAAATTTTTGGGTTGGGTTGGCCATCAATTATAGACCCATCGTTCCCACATATAGCCACTCGAAAATTCGAGTTAGTCCCAAAAATACCCCTTACCCGACCCAACCCAAGCCGTGAACACCCCTGGTTGTTATTTCTTTATTTTTTTGTTCATGTTCCTACAATATTTTTGGGCTAGTCTTTTTGTTCCTTTTCTTCATTTCTCAGACAATAAGATCCATCTTTTTTCCGTACAATATATATCTTACCTTTGCACCCGAAAAAAACTATCAAATTGCCAAATTCGACCATGGTTAATTTGTAGTTAATCTCCAGTAAAAAAATTGTAACTAATCTCAATTATATTTAGCATACAATTCCAATTGGAAAAATTAAACGTAAAATGACCCTCAACCTAAAAGTAAATACAAGGACCAATCTCGGATAAGATCCTCGTTTGAAAAGACGTATATGCCCTCTTTCTTATTGTTCACTCATGAAGTTGTCTTCGACGAGGTCATTTTAGTCATCTATATTTACAATTAAGATCTTGCAAAATATTTAGAAATTCAGATTACATTAGATTATAGTAGTTAGCAGTCAAAAATTATTGGATCATATTTAATTAATAACTTTATAATATCTAAAAATTATTGAATTCTAGTCCATAAAAGTTGAATATAGCAAATAAAAGATGATACCAATTATTAATAAATAAGTTACAAGTAAATAAATAATTTTTTTTGATAGATAGTAAATAAATACTTTTTTCCATTAAAAATTTCATTAATAGTTTAATGTCGTAATAGTTGGGGGGTATGTAATTAATGAAGTGTTTCAATAATGATATAGTATATGATGTTGAGTAAAATTCAATAATTAGTAAAAAAAAAAAATACTTAAATAGTTTTTACTCTTTTTATGACAATTTTACCTAATTCTTTAATTAATAATTTTAATAAAACTGCTAATATATATTATATATAAAAGTTCACCAATATAAGTAAATAAAGATTCAAAACGGTTTTGAAGTCGACGATATATGTTTTAATCTATTAAGCTATGTTCCTAAATATATAATTATTTTTATTAAGACATGTTTATCTACTCCTTATAAAGTTTTGTACATTCGACTAAGTAATATTTATGTTTTAGAATTAAAATATGAATTACATCAAATTTAAAATTAAAATTTCGATAATCTTAGTTAATTAATTTTTATTTTAAGTTCTAGGAAATTTAGGTCTTGTTTCTTAAATTGACTAAGATCTTAAAAAACAACTTTTTTAAAAAATATAGAATATGAAGTCTTAAAATTTAAAAACATGGGTTAAAATACATAAAAATGTGGAATACACGTAAAAATTTTCTATGTTAGCGTGGTCTTGTACTTTTCATAATTTTTTATTCAAATATAAAAAATGTAAGTTTAAAAAGTCGAGTCATTTGCCAACCTGAGTTTAAGATAAAAAAAAAGAAAATCAAAACAACACAAGTGCAAATATCTATTCGCACCAAAAAGAAGGTCGTGTTATTAAGAGAATATGTTTAACTGGATAATTTGAAAAATAGACTACAAAATGGTCACTTCTTTTATAAAATCACGTTTTTAATTCACATACTTAACTTTAATTGTCCCTTTATATGTTTTAATTTATTAGATATGCATACTATTACTGAAAAAGAAATATTATGAAGCACTCCAAATTAAGATTTACCCGCAATCTTCCGTTTAATTTTTTATCAAAATAATATTTTAAAACCTAACCCTCATTCATATATTTTGTAACATGTCAATTGCTACAAAATACCACATGCATAGCTAAAGTGCACCAGAGAAATAATAAACAAAATCGATTTTTTCCCCCTTTTTTTATTACAAAATTTATAGAGAGAACGCATAGAATAACCACAAATACATATTATTTGGAACATGTTTCTAAAAAATGAGAAACTAGAAAATTTATATCGAATTTTTTCTTGTAGTGATTCGTCATTGACTCATCTTTGGGAGGATATAAAAAATTCAGCATTCAATTGGTTCTCCAAAACCTCCATTTTTCGTAATGCTTAACCTCCGTTCTATATGTTCCTTACATACATCCTAATGAATTGACTCGTATTTTTAGAAAAGAAAAAAGACGAGAAATATGATCCAACAGGATTTGAAAGAGAGAGAAAACGGGAGGATTTGTGGAAAGTAGGGAAGAAAACAATTCAATGTTAAAAATTGGAAATTAGGAGAGAGAAGCCCAATAGGGATTGGAAAAACAGAGAAAAAGGGAACTGAAAAGGTGGCATTATACCATAATCTCCCAATTAATGTGAAAATGAAAATGTGTTTTGTTTTATTTCGGGAGGTCGTCATGACAAACGTCATCATTCACTTCCTCCACCACTAAAGTTAGTTAGAGAAACAAGAGATCCGAGTTTAAATACTATTTCCAGTCCTATATTTTCAACATTTGTTCATTTTAGTTTTTGTAATTTTGAAAGGTTCCTTTTATAGTCTTAAAAAGTGACAATTTTAGTTCCTTTATTTTTATTTCCTATCTCATTTATTTTGATCAAAATTTTAGTACGACATTTGATCACTCGCTTGACTTATTGAAATGTAATCATAAATTGGTATTAAAAAGCTTCCATAGCATATAAAACCCGTGTTAAAATTTTGTAAATAGAGACTAAAATTGTCACTTGGACCAAAACAAATATTTTGAAATACATATACTAAAATGAAAAAAATTGAAAACGTAAGGAAAAATATATTTTAAAAATGTAAATATGAATAAAAATCGAAAATATATAAATAAAAATAGTATTTAAAGGAAGGGAATATTGATGGAAGAAAGCAGAAATAAAAGAAGAAAAAGTGATATAAATAAATATAATACAATGTGTAAGTGAATATTGCAGGTTAGTGAGAAGTGGTTGGTAGGTCGATTTGCCGCCCAAACTCCATCATTAATTTCCAGAATTTCTTGTTCTTAAATTTAATCTTTTTAATTAATCATCATTACACTTTAGGACATATATTTCCTGTCTCATAACATAAACGAACTTAAATTCAAAACACTCTGTTTTTGTTATTTGTTTTAATAATAAAATAAATAAAATTTCTCTCCATCTTTGCTGTTGCAAGTGGCCAACACAACCACGTACGTTTATTTATTACCTTTTTCTTTCTTTGTGGAATTTTCATTTAGTTTCAAACTAACACTTCATTTGCATCTCCTCCATCTCTTTTTCGTTGGATGTTGTTTTAATTTTTTCAGGTTCAAAATTTAAATCATGTTTTCTCTATCAATCTATATATTTAATATAGGTTCAGTTTATGATGATTTTTAGGAGAGTGAATGGAAGTACTTTTCAAAATTTTAGCACTTTTCCAAGTGATTTTGATGATTTTTAGAGGAAATAGTTCAAATTGGAATTTGTAACTTTAATCATTAGGGCCCGTTTGATAATGCTTTTTGTTTTTTTTTTCTATTTCATATTTTTAATTAAANAAAAAAAAACTTTTCTAGCGAAATTTTGAGAAAATAAAGTTTTTTAAATTATATTTTATCTTTTAATTAAAAGAAGAACATGAAAAAGTAAAATGTTCATATTTTTAATTAAAAAAAAAAACTAGACTTGTGTATGACCCCAACTGATATCTATAGAGGTCAAGAATAATAAAACAATATTTTTATTGTTTAAAAACACATTTAGTTCTTGTACTTTGTCTAAAGTAACGATTTAGTTTAGTTTGTAATGATTTAGTCCCTATACTTTCATAACAATTTAGTTCCTAAACTTTAGTTTGTAACGATTTAGTCCCCGTAGTTTAAATTTAGTAACAATTTAGTCCTTATCGTGAAAAATCTTACTAAAATTAAGTATCAAGTTTTATCATATAACAATTTAATCTTTCTAATTAATAAACATATTTGGTCACTCATTGGTTTATCAATCGATATATATATATATAAAAGAAACTTAAAAAAAAAAAAAAGAATTCACAATAAGGACTAAATCGTTACAAACTTTAAAATACAAGGACTAAATTATTACACATTAAAGTTTGAGGACTAAAGTTTTCAAATTTGAAAATACATGGACTAGATCGTTACTTAAACGAAAGTACAGGGACCAAAAATGTTTTTTAACGTATTTGTATTCATCTCAACCTCTCATTTTGTTTTTTTCACTTAACCTTCAATATTTTGGCTATGTTTCCTTTTTTTTTTCTTTGAGAAAATGTTTCCATCTTTTAACTTTGGTAGAAAATTTATTTTATACTTTATTGTTTATCTTTATTATTGATTTGAAAACTTGATATAATTACCTAACTACATATATATGTAGCTTCAAAACATTTATTTGACTATATAGACATCTGTTAAATAAATGGAATATATTTCTACGTCAAAGTCTCTATTAAACCATTTATTTGAAAAATAGATTGAAAGTCTAAAATGATTATTTTTTTAATTCCCATGATTAAAATAATATTTAAAGGTTTGGAGACTAAAATGAAAAAAAAAATGTAAAAGTTTGGGTATCAAAATTTAATTTATGGAGTAATCAATATTAGTATAAAAAAAAGTAATCAATATTATATGCTGTATTATTCAAGACAAGATTATGAGTAAATTAATTTCATGCAATGAGTTGGTGATTTTAGATATTAATTATTTGACATCTATCATTTATACGTGTTTCAATTATACTGAGTATTATTATTTATAATTATTATTATTATTATTTGATGGAGATACTGAGTAGTTATTGAGTGT